TAGCACGTTTAAATAAACACGGATGGCCAAATGGTTTACACTGCACTCCATTACCCAGCGCATTCTCTAAACAGAGTACTCGCCTCGATATACTTAGTGATGTGCTCTTATTTTCACATCTTTGAACTGAAATAGGAGTTTGATTTTGTTTACAGTTTCAGTCGTCCTTCTGGTTTCTGCCTCTTTTGTTTTCAGGCCCTCCCAAAACATGACATTTATAGCAGGAGGAAAAACTCCTAAGGGAAAGAGGGAAAAAAAACATTATAATGTCTTATGAAGAACGGAGTAAATTGTTCTCTCAGGACCTTCATGGAGATGATGAGATAACGCAGATCCTCAGAGCTAAAACGTTGTTTGTCTGCTATGGAGGTTTTGTAAAAGAGGAAATGAATTTACATTTCAAGCACTAGTTTGTATGTTTACGTGCTGTGGTCACATTAACAATTCGCTCTGGAGCTCTTTTGGGAGCATTAGAACCACATGAAGCTTCTGCAAAGGATGTTTATAAATTCATAACAAACTGTGACTTTCTCTGCACTGACAGGCTTTGACTTTAATTCAAGGTCTAATAAAGGCCCAATTTAATTTAAGCTCTTATAACTTGAAAGGTACCAGAGAAAACTGAATTTCCCTTCTGTTTGATATAAAACATGAACACTGTTTCAAAGTTTCAAAGCATACTATTCACTCCCCAGTCATTACAGTCAGTATATGGAAATTCATGCTTTGAATGAACTGTTTTGTGATGTCACAAAACCAAAGCACCAAAACACACATACACACGGATTCAGCCTACAGCCGTTTAGCCCCACCCATTCATGCAGAAGTTATAAGAAACATTTTTGAACATGACACAATACAGGCCAACCAGTCAGAGCAAAGCTTATTTACATATATCAGTTCCAAAGATACAGTAACCAAAACAGCTAAAGTCAAAGGCATAAAGAAAAGTTGGAAAATGGTCATGTAGCAATGAATTATGACAGTTTTTGGTACATAAACCCAAAAAAGTAGATGTCATGGGGAAGAAAAATGTAGGATATGGTACTTTGACTACAATATGAAAAACTGAACAATTACGTTACACTAAGCACTGTGCATCATCTTAGAATCGTAGAATATAGGCCCTTTAAATAAAGTTATAAAAGCAGCCTTTACTGTATTCCTTGTAATTGTTTGAGGTCTGCATTCTTTAAAGGTTAAGAGCCTTTCAAGATGATACAACCCAGAAACCATCATCACTTCAGATAATCAAAGCAGCACCACAAAAGCTGTTTTTGTTCTTATGCCGCTAGAACAATTTCTTTAAAAGAAATTTGTATTATTTACTCATCTTCATTAATTCATGGTAACTTTAAAGGGAAATTCCACTGATTTTTCCACCTCATAATTCAGTCACTGTGACGTAAAAAGTCAGTCAGAGTGGTTTGATGTGAAGAGAAACTTGCTGACTCGGATTTCTTTACAGTGGTGGTGACAGGAACCAGGGATCACTGGCTGCAACACAAATACAGCCACTTTATTTACTGTTCAAAACCATCAGTGAACCTACACCTGTCTTCTGAGTTTTTGTATGTAATGTTGATGATAGTAAAATAGTGGTAAATCTGGAAAAGTTAGTTTTCTTAGGGAAGTGTTTTGCCATACAGCGCCCTTTACATACTTTGCCATTATTACTTTTTTAAAAAGTACATTTTAAGGCAAAAGCTTGTCTCAGAACTATGGTAAAACAATGTCTCAGACATCAGGCAGTGCATCTGTAACTATTTTGTGTAATAACTTTCTGCGAGGAAGCTTTTAGAGGCATTAAGACGTCTGGTTCGTCACCACCACTTGGTACGTTTTTCTAGAATGGCACATTTCATATAAACCACTTTAAATGATTTTGTTTACCTCTTAACAGTGTTATCATGTAGAACTTTTGAGACATCAGAGGAATTCTCCTCTAAGACATGTTTATCTATACAAAGAGCGTAAAAAACGTTTTCAGATAGTGGAAGTACTAATAATTCATAATAATTTAGAAGGCTAGCATATTTCTCTTTGCCTTTATCATTACTATGATACTTTAGCAAAAGATGTTTACCCAACCGCCTAACGTACGTTTTCACCGGGGGTTCTTTGTACTTTCCGCCTCGGGTTTGTGGTTAGTACTGCATGAAGTGTGATAATGTTGGAAGTAATTATCTGGCAGAACTAAATACAGAGCGCTCTCCCTTCAGCCACTAATGAGTATTATGCTCCTGGAGCTGCTCCCTTACCTTAATAGAATTTCCTCCTAATTATGTCTTCTCTTTCTTCTCATTATTTAACCTAAATGACACCAAATTAGCCACAGAGGAACAAGTTTGCTCTGATTTTTAACCCAAGAGTGCCCCTTAATTACTGCTTTTAGCGAAGGATCCCATGAAGAAAGATGAAAAGGCGGGTTCTTAATTGATTTACAGGCATTTACAGCAACAAGTGGAGCTGTGAACTCACCGATTCATAAAGCTTAATGAAGCCGTAAGCCGAGGCCTTCGCCAGGGCATTAAACCTGTCACGATTACAGAGCAGCCTTCCCCTCAAGGGCTGTAATAAGTGCACTGGAGCCCAGACTCAGTGGAGGCACTTAAGTATTGCTTTGGACTTGTGCCGTTGCATTCCCAAAGAGAATCAAATAATTACCGCAGTGTGCGTGTGTTATAAAGGAAAAAGCTTCACTCTTCACTTGAAGTATGTTTTGTCACCGACACGTCGTAAATCCTGTTATCTGACGCAGCTGTCGGTGGACGTCCGGGATAAGCTCAGAGCTTGAGGATGTCTTCAATTTAAAATCAGATTTGCAATAAACAGTAATCTGCTACAGTTTCATTTGTCAAAGGAGTTTCGCTCCACCCCTGCACTACAAAAGCACTAGGACTAACAAATGCAGTACCCCCGCAACGCAAGTCCGGTCCGCTCTCAGCAGTCGTGCAAAGACGGTGGCCGAGACAGCTCTGCATAAAGGCTGAAGTCCTAATGACAGCAGGGCGAAATTCATAGCTTTTTTAAAATGACAGTCTCAAGCAGAATCAGAGTGGGCGCCATACACCTCAGGAAGGTAGCAATTTTGTGTCATTACTGTTAAATCCTGGTTAAAAGAACCAGATTCCAAAGGCCTAATTACAAGGTGTTAATAATAACAATATAATGACAGTAATTTTCAGGCAGGGCTAATCCCACTCCAAGTGCCTTTCACAGTTTGCTATGAGAAGCACATCAAGGGAGAGCTGCCTTTATCAATCATGAGCACGCATCGAAATTATCACGCATGTCAGCGTTCATAGGTTTTTAAAATGATCGAGAGAGTTCATCCATGATTTTCCTTTTTAATGTTAACCCTCTGCAAGCAGTTCTCTACAGGAGTGCTCGTTTTCCAGAAATGATCCTCGCATTCTCTGAATCCCCGCCAGATAAGGGGTTACATGTGGTGTCTCCTTCTGTAAAAACGTTCGTCACAAATGATTTCAGTCTGTAAACTTTGGCGTCTTTCAGCTGTTGTTTATTTTTGAGCTTTTGAGTAGCAGTGTGGAAAACTTTCCAAATGTTACCTGAAAACTGAATTGAGCACAACAGTGGAAAACTACTTTGTTAGCATTTGTTATTTGACACTAATTTCAAACATTTTCACCAGAAACAGATAAAGTTTTGTTTGCACCTCTTCTCCCTTTAAAAACAAATGAAAAAGAAAAGTTTCATCACAGGTAACTCCATGATGGAGTGGAACTGCGCTTTAAACTTTTATATTTTTCCACTTTTGAGTAGAAATCACAAATGTACTTTATATAGCAAGTATTACCTGAGGCCTTTCTTGTATTGCATTTTTTCCTTAAGGTTCATTCATGATGCCTGTATGTTTTTATGCACCAGAAACAGTCATAATTTATTTTTACATGACTGTATTCCATCCTTTTTATCCCTTAGAATTAAACAGGCTGTTTCTGTGGTTGTGTCTTGAAGACTGATATATGTAAATAATCTCTGGCTGCTTTGTACTGTGCCTCAGTCAAAAAGCAGCCTATGCTAAAACTCAAAACAGGCTGTTTTTGCAGCTTTATTTCTATATATTCATAATATAAAATGGGGAATGAACTGTGATGAAACTTGTGTTTGCATAATATGTGGAATTCTTTTTTTTAAAAAGAAAAAAAGCTTGGAAATTTTAGTCTTCCATGATGCGCGCCCTTTAATTTTCCTGGTTAAAGGGCCCGTATTCTACTTTATTTTTGTAGTTTATTATTTATTTTCCCCTGAGGCCGACCTAGCCATTTTTACGGCTAAAGGAGTCATGATTTATTTCTACATACCCATTTTCCAACTTCTCCTTATCTCTTAGAATTAAACAGGCTGTTTCTGTTACTGCGCCTTTAAGACTGATGTATTTAAAAAACCTCTGTTCTAATTGGCTCACAGTCTGCAGTCTGCGCTGAAACACTCCCTTTAATTTAAATGGGTGGAGCTAAAGTGCTATAAGCAATATGTATGTCTATGTAAATTTATGCAAATGAATTGATTTTTGATGACATCACAACAAAAGAAAAATGAATTCAAAATGAGCTGTTTTTGCAGTTTAGTTTCCACATATGAAGCGTATGGACTGTGCAGTGAACAGCAGGTTTTGAAAATGTATATTTACATACTGTGTCAAATTTACATGACAGGGGCCCTTTAAAAATCTGGCAAACAGGTTGTTACTTTATTGTAAACTAATATGTCTGATGACTTACTGTTATTATTTATTTGTTTTTACAAATCAAGATCAACTTTAGGCCATACAGCCATTCTCATCCCCCACTAAATGAATATCTAAACATAATAAATTGACTGTAAACCTGTTTGTCACGTTATTAGAAACTAATGTTGTGCTGTCAGAGCTCAGACAGCCAATGGCAGGCGCCCTTCTGTCAGGCTGCGCTCTGATTGGTCCAAACTTCGACCACTGCTAAAATGTCGCTAAAGTTGATGTTAGAGCTGAGAGTGAAGGGGAAAAGTGGAGAAGCGAGAAGCTGCGCTTTGCTGCGGGCGGCCCAACCCATCTTTCTGGCTTGTTTAATGCTTCTCTTCGAGCGCGGTGCGTTGAGCTCGTCGTTGAGGGATGGCCGCGGAGCTCCGGAGAGACTCGGTCTCCTCCCGTGATGAGCAGGGTCCTCGAGCGTCTCCGCAGCAGCTCGTGTCGAGCCTCCCTTTCAGCGTGGAAGCCCTCATGAGGGACCGGGGAGTGAGGGATGGAGGGAGGCTTCAGCACGCCAGACCGTCCGCTGCTCTCCAGGACCCGTCCGAGACTGAGGGCTTCCCCAGACACGCCGGACCTTCGTCCCCCGTCAAGTCGGAGGCGTCAGATCAAGAGGATGCTTCCTGGGCCATGAAGTCCGCGTCGTCGTCGCCTCCGCCACGTACGTTCAAGCGCTCTGGCTTAGCCACGAAGGAATTCCCCAGATATAATTAGTGGAGCTTAAGTGGTCGTGAATAGAGCAGAGTCATGTTAAAGCTTTGTGAACAGGAAATGTAGTAGCGCTACAGAAATGTCTGAAAGACCTCTTTAAGAAAAAATAACGGTAATTCAGTTGTGCCACGCATTTCCATTCAGTCAAGCAGAGCAGAGTCAGTATACGGACGTTGTTACCCCAACATAAAACTGTTGAACAAATTTATAATATTTCAGTGCGATTTATTTCAGTTTCATTGGAATGCAGTTGTCTCTGGCTCAGTGTAAACTGTATTCATTCAATGAAATACACTTTCATGAATGTTTGTTCTCTTTAAGTAAAAAAAAATACATACATTCAGCACAGTTAATGTATTAAATGTCAACCTATTTTATGTTTCTAAGTCCAGCAACCCTGCTGGTTCATCTTTTTGCCTGTATATGACAGTTATATGACAGAATATTATACAGCAGTGAAGCTGCTATACACTAGAGGTGGACGATACAGGAGAATATCATCAGGATACTTCAAGACGTTTTTTACGATGCACGATATGTCACGATGTTTATTTTTTCTGATGTCTGATAAGTTAGACAAGCTAAACTCTCATCTTAAAAATACTATCACAAACTATGAATTCATTATTTGTGTTCAACTTTTTACACACTGAGCTGCACTAAATCCAGTTAAACAGGACTGATTATGCTCTCTTTGTAATCAAACAGGCAGTTGGTCACGTGGGTACAATGTGACATTGTGATGTAATTTATCACAATAACGATAAATAGTGTGATATTGCCCAGCTCTACGATACACTGTAAAGAAAAGTGAGGTCTTCTATAATAATCTACACTGTGAAATAAAAACAAGACAAGCTAAGTTACCTTAAAGGCTTAAGGCTATTTATTTCCCAGCATTAATGACTCAAGTTGTGGGAATAGGAGTTCTCTAATGCCTTCAAATTGAGTTGACTCAAAAAAGCTGCTGGGTAACCTTTGTTTGTTTACAGTGTAGATTATTATAAAAGGATTATTCAGCACTATCAAAATCTTATAATTACTGTATACATTTTAAGGCAAATATCTATTCCTACTTTTAACGTGGCATTTATTCTGTCAGTGTCATTATAAATGCTATTCTCTAAACTGGAACTTAAATGGTGAAATTAGGCCACATGACTGTGGAGCACTTTCAGCTTTTCTATGCATGTTAGCACTATAACTGTAAATGGCATATAATAGGATATTAAATTTAGCCCAGTGTGGGTCTTTTAGAAAAGGCAACAAATATATGTGAAGGGTTTTATTCCAAAACGTATTAAACAGCACTTTATGAATTTTCTTTTTTTTCAAAGATATGTTTTGCACAGACATTAAATATTAAAGCTATATTATGATGAATACAACTTTTATTAGGGAAGTAAAAACGCACTTTTGGACTAAATGCGTTATATGTTAGCTGTTATTCTTTTCAAATCTCTTCTTTTTACAAATGGATCTACTGTTTGAATGAAAAGCGTTCATACTGGAAAACTTGTTACGTATGGTTCTTTAAAGCACGTAAAAAAAACAGTTCTATATAGCACCACAAAGGGTTTGTTACAAGTCATTGCACTTTTTTGGCGCTACAGAGACCCCTTTCGCTAACAGTGTAGTATATTGCCCAAGCTCAGTAAATAAAGGTGTATTTTTTGGAAGAATTGTGTAACATTTGTGCCAGTGGCTTTGAAAACAGAATTTTGTGCCTTTTCCGAGATCCAAAACAAAGCATTCTGTGGTTGCTCCCATGTTACAGGTCAGCTGAGTCCAGCCACATGCTCTCTGAGAAAGCACAAGACGAATCGCAAGCCTCGGACTCCTTTCACTACCAGTCAGCTCCTGGCTCTGGAGCGGAAGTTCCGGCAGAAGCAGTACCTCTCCATCGCTGAGCGGGCAGAGTTTTCCAGCTCTCTCTGTCTGACGGAGACACAAGTTAAGATCTGGTTCCAGAACCGACGAGCCAAAGCCAAACGCCTGCAGGAGGCAGAAATGGAGAAGCTGAAAATGGCGGCCAAACCTATGCTGCACTCTGGCCTCTCATTACCGTTTCCCCTCAGCACTCAACCACAGGCAGCAGCACTGATCTACGGACAGTCCGGACAGTTCCCTTTCCACAGGTACATGCTCCCCATGCCTCCGCTCGGGATATACTCCACACCTGTGGGCTATAATATGTATCATCTATCCTGAGAGGCACTCAGGAAGGATTCTGGAAGGTTCTGAATCAGTGGTGCCTAAACATTTTTGCCTGATTGGCCGAAATGTAATCTTAGTGGTGAGTCAAGAGCCCAGAAATATCCAGAAATGGCCGTGTGTAATTTGTCTACAGTAGTACCAGCTGTATACAACTCTGACCAAGTAAACGTCATCTGGCGCCTCAAACAAAAGGTCTTCACAGGCCACAAAAGAGACGTTTCCTAAGTGCACCTTATCATGAAGACTATGCAAGTTCAGATGCTGGATATACTGAACTGCTTAGTTGAATTTTGAAATGGGTTGGTTGAAGATTAACAGTCATAGGCTTGATATTGTTTTTTTAAGTTTCTTCACCTACTTGCTTCTCAGAATGTTTAGAATAACTGATGTGAATTCAGAAAGTTGTTGGTATTTTACAGTGTAAAGGAAGACCGACTCTTTATATCAAACATACAAAGCATATTATGGGAAATGTTAAGCAGTGATCAGTATTTTGCATTGTATAGGTTAGAGGACTGTTCAATTATGTTGATTCAAAACCACCACCAAGTGCTGTTCTGTATTGTTTTTCTCCAAAGCTAACCACGCAAAGCCAAATAAGTTGATGACTTCACCTCTATACAGCCTTTTATGAATTTGTGTAGTGGTCACAGTTATATTTATATAAGAAAGAAATGTACTGTAATATATGTTTCACAGCAATTGTGCATTGAATTGGTGAATGTAAATCATTAAATTTGACTTTCCGAGGAAACTTGACGAGTCAACATGGATCAGTGGTCCCACATCACAAGCTTACATAGGCCACTATAATGGAGGAAAGGTATGGGCCAGTTTTAGGTGAAACTACAGATGAGGTTATGACATATTTGTGGGGTTTGATGACCCCAGATTTAAGAAGGTGAGATAAGCTCAGCCTCATAGGCTTCGGGGTCGCTAATGCTTTTTAAATTGAGCTGCTGAAAAGAGGCTTTTAAGCATTCATGCTCATAATCTTTTGAAATGTTGAGGTTGATCTGTATGGCTCTCCTTTTCATCCCGGTGGTCTCAGGAAAAGTTAATTAAACGGTGTCTTTACATGACGCACTAAAACATTGGGTCGGTCCCAAAGCTATTTAAGATATTTAAACTCCCTCTGTGTTGCGCCACAGGAATGTGACCGCCGATTAAATTTCTAATACTGACCTAATCCATCTTTGTCCCACACCCGGTAGCTGTTAAATATGGTAGAATCTGCTATCGGTATAATTATAGTTTCGTAGTCAAATGAGTGTGAGCTGTACACGGACTCCCACACAGGCTCCTACACAGAAGCTAATAAAAGTCTTTTTGTGGGCCTTTGCATGTGTCTTTAAAATGCCCCACTGGTTTCTGGTCAGATAGGTGCGAAGTCTGACACCTTTGGCATTCATCTTACTGTTTCCCCCACCCACTTCCTCATAAGTAACATTAGTTCATTGTTGCTTTCTCTCTTTCTCTCTCATAGCACTAAATAAGCACATAGCTCATGCATGATACGCTCATACTCTTATCAGCTAATATGTGGGATTCTACATCAGTATTTGCTGCTGCTAGAATATCCCCTGAAGACCAAGGCCAGATCAGCAGTGGGCTTAAGGGTTTGTGGCCCTCCGAGCATGGCTGTGAATGGAATAGTAGTTGAAGCAACTAAAAATGTGCAAACACTGATGAAGATTGTGCTTTTAAATCAGGGCAGGCCAAAAATGACCCATGAGAATGTTCGATTTGGCTGAGCAGGAGAAAAACTTAATTTTACTATATAGAGAACTGTGAAAAAAGTCAGAGGCCACCCTAGGTCAAAAAGCCATTAAGTCAAGTTGTTACTGAGAAAAGGAAATAGACAAAAAAATTGACAAAGAAGCTGCTGGTGTCCCCAAAATTATGGACTGATCATTCCAGAGTCCAGACCTCAACATCATGAATTTGTTTGGTATTACTTGGATTGTGAGAAGGAGAAAATGCAGCTTCTGAGACTGAACTTTGGAGGTGTAGGAAGATATCCCTGCTGATTTCTCTTGAAAAGAATAGTTAAGCCATACTAAAGGCTGTGGACACACTGTATATTGAATAAAACAATATTAAGTTAATTCATATACAGGTTTTTATGCAATTTTCTTTTAAATGTGTGCTTTCTGCTTCTTTCTTGACTCCTAAAATTGAAAAAACTTAACATACTTAATTGCCATTCTGACTAGAAATTAAAGAAAGGGCTCTGCGCAGTAAGGCTGTGACATTAAATTCTTATTTTAAGTATTTTAGTACAAAAATATAATGTAATGTTATAGAAAATGTTTTTAAAAGCTCGATTTTGAACCCACCTACCTTTTTGTTTGTGTATCGTTTTGTCTTTTTGGCCCTTGGCCCATCAGAAACATTGCACTTTGGATCATCAAGACAAGATGTTTGATCTATAGTTTCATTGACAACTCATTTCATGACTCCCAGCCTGTCATAGACTAGCCTAGCCTTACATCATGATGCCAAACAGAAAATACAAACGCAGGAATCATAAATGAAGACTTAAGCTTGATAAGCAAACAAAAGCAGCTGAATTCTGTACTGTTATTCAGATGTAGGTCAGTGTTGTTTGGGAGGGATGTGGGGAGGCATCGACACAGAATAGTCCAGGGCTCCAGAGTGCCTTAATGCAACCCTGCTAAAGACAAAGCTCTCGTCTAGCACTTTAACACTGGTGCGTGTTCTTCTCAACTCTTTGGGTATGGACCCTTTAGCATGGATAAACACATCTTCTTTCTTTCCACAGCCTTCCCTCTCTTAAAACACCAGTGCTGCCTTATCAGATCTCAAATGCCTAGCTCTACGTCAACCAGGCCCTCGCTTAATTGTGCTTGGCCTCCAATTTTAACTCAACCACTGTGAAATCATCTGTATGTACAGCGCCAGCGATAAGGAGCAGAAAACATTATATGACTGGGTTCACCTTCTCTTTCTCACTTAACTGTGGCGTTTGCTGGCTCTGACTGACTGCCTCTCAGTCCCGTGGAACCATGTTACAATTAAGAGTGATTTCACAGTCCATTTCCTTTCCTTTGTTTTGAAAACAAGCTCCAGCATTAGTTTGATAACAGACTGTTTTTGAGGTGCAAAATTGCCTTTCGGCTCCAGAGATTAGTTTCACTCCTTTGGGTTGAAACCCCGGGCCGTCTGTGCCAAGTTTCCTCGGCTGCTCAGTCTGCTTAGTGGTGAGCTTTGATTGTAAATGCCTCAAACCTGGGAGGTCCGCAAAGGTGGCACGATACTTTATGTTAATCCAGATATAGGCCTTTAATGCACACAAATTACAGATGGTTTTGGGCTTGCGAGCAGATTTATGGTTAAAGCGGTGTGACTTTGTAGTGTTCTCATCAGCCGAGGCAGAGATTGTTTCCAAGCATTAAAAGAATAAAGGGGCAGCTATTAGAGAATGCTTATGCTTCCAGTCACCCTGAGTAAGTTTCCCCATCCATTCCCTTTCAGTAGTGCTGGTGAAGCTTGTTATATCAACAGCGCCCACTAGATGTAGCCATTTCTTGATTTTTTTTCTCATTTTTTTCTTGCACAAAATAAAAATATGGAAAAGGAGAAATTAACTCAGCCACTTTTCTACAAGAATGCATCAAAAGCATCAAATAGTTAGAAATCAAGCCATTTTTCCAAGAGCACATTTGGTTTATAACAGTCACCTTGGCATGCGTTGGCATATGAGTGGTCTATATGATGACATTATGATTGTCATGATAAATTACATCACAACACACTGTAAAATATACAAAAACAAGCAAATGAACTACTTTTATTCAGCTGAAATAAGTACTTTGAACCAGTGTTTCATTTGAAGCATATGCTTGAATGGGATAAAAGTAGTTAAAATATCTTGTTCCCACAAAAAGTACATTTTTTAGTTTACAGTGTTCTTCATAATATGCTTTTAGGAGTACATCATGGATCTTGTCTGTACTTAAATAGCTGTTTCCTTACGAAGAATGCACAATCAGTCCTGTTTAACTGTATTTAGTGCAGTGCAGTGTTATAAATGTTGAAAAAAATATTGTATTCATAGTCTTAGTACCTTTTAAATGTGGGACAGAAAACCTATAAAAACTAAATATTCTACATAAAAGCATGTATTATGAAGAAGTATTGCGATTGATGTATTCTGCCATATCGCCCACCCGCTTTGCTGTCTTTTAGTTAAAAAGGATGAAAAAGAACAGCACATGTACATAACCTATGAGGACATGTCAAGATTGACACGAGAGAAACTCTTTTAGCTTGTGGTTATTAAACGAAGCTTCCTGTAGATGGCGCTCTTGCCATTTTCCCTGTGGACTGAGAGACGTATTGAGCACCATTGTAAAGCCCCATGTGTGTTGGTCAAATATAAGGTTTCAGTGGATTCCCCAACTATACAGCGTGGTTATTAAGCCAATCATGGTTATGAATGTTTCTCTGTTAGGAATTTGCATGATTGATGTCGACGCTGGGAATGTTTTGACGGTATGCTGCACCTGTTTGTGTAGTGCAGTTACTGCTCTTGCTGATTCATTTACCTGATGTCATGGGTGCTTCTGTGGCTTTTTTGTACTTATATCATGTCATGACTGTTTCTGCTTTAGGAGTTTGTGTAGGTGTAAAATTCAAATGTAGGTTAAAATTTTTCTCTTGGTTCACCTTATTTATTTTAACCCTTTAAACTACAGGCTTATTATTCAGTTATTAATGTTAAAATGTATTATTATTTAGTAACTACTATAAATTATTTGGTAACTACAATGAAATTATAGTGTTATGTAGTTATGAGAGTGAAAAACTGAAGTGAAGGCCTATGTACAGGCTATTAGGGTTTAAAGCGTTAATTGTCTAAACCTAAATAGAAAGTGTTAATTATATAGCATAATTGTACTATGACACAGTTATGATATAATCATACTCTGATATAGTTATAGTATAAACATTCCTTAAATAGTTTATACTACAGTCTTACTACAATGTAGTCATAGTATAAAGGTTTATTACATAGTCATAGTATAAACCATCATTACATAGTTTAACCATACCATGACGTAGTCGGACTATAAATGTTCATTACATAGTTATAATATAATTATACTATGACATAGTCAGAGTGTAAGTGTTTGTTACATAGTCATAGCATAACTATGCCATGACAGTCAGATAATAAATGTTTATTACCTAGTCATATAATCATACTACTATGTATTCATAATATAAAGGTTTATTACATAGTCATTAGAAAGTCATAGTATGACCATACTATGTCATAATCAGACTGTAAATGTTCATTACATAGTAATAATATAATTATACTATGACATAGTCCGACTGTAAATGTTTGTTACATAGTCATAGTATAACCATACTATGACACAGACTATAAATGTTTATTATGTTGTTATATATAAAAACTATAAATTTCATTACATAATCATAGTATAAACGTTTGTTACATAGTCATAGTATAAACGTTCATTACATAGTCATAATATAATGAAACTATAACCATCATAGTATAAACATTTATTACATAGTCATGGTATAAATGTTCATTGCATAGTACATATTCATATGGCTGACATAGCATGAACTTCATTTGCCATATGAATCTGCATTATGAGGATTGTACTTCACACTACATTACAATCATTTGTTATGCTTGTTTGACATGTCATTTGGATTTACCAGTGTCGTAGCTACTGTGCAGATCATCA